ATTCATAAATGCATGACGGCAATGTAAATTCTTAAACAATACATTGGTGTGTCACCTTGTGCTTAATGATGCATGGACAGTATTGTTAAACATAAGGCGACAGAAAATGTTCAACTTCACTGAAAGTGAAATCATTTCAAACAGCTGTACATAAAAACTAACAAAATATATTAAACAAAACCTTCAAAACATGCAAGTACCAGAGTTTCATTGAGGCAACATTCACACCACAATGAAATTATGTAAATTTCATCACATGTGAAATAGCATTTCACATGTGATGTATAAATGTTCTCTTTACAAATCCAAGTGTGACATTGATGTTGTGAAAGGTGATTTCACTTTACCAGTATATACATGTCAATTCATACATTTCACATGTGCTTTTTGTTGATTTTGTTTGTGTGTGTTTGTGTGTATTACTTCATTTTTTAAAATTTGTTTTTAATCTTGTAAAAGCTTTTCCCATACCTCATCAAGAGTGTAAATTTGTTTGCTGCATTACAAGCTCCTCCCCTGCTCTTGCATTGATTAATTGAACTGGACGGTCGAGCTGTTTTTCAAGTAAGGGATCAGCAAGAAATTGTTGCTGACTGTTTGCAACCAGCCAGCCATTTCTTTTTAAACTGTATAGTCACAAGCCTGTTTTGTTTATTAGTTCTGGTCCAAAGCCTTGTGAAGCCTGCCGCCAAGAAGAAATATATGAGGAGCCTATTTCCATTCTGAATAGTAATGAGGTATGTTACAAAGTTTGTTGTTTTCAACCAAGATTCTTATTTTTTGAGACACATTCTTTCTAATCAGTATACAATCCCTTTTAAAAGACAGAAAATATGGCTACAGCATGATGGGGGTTTCCCTCACCAAAGATTCACACAATGCAATCTACTATGTCTGTTTGCTATTGAAATTAGAGGGCTTTTGAGTTGAGTTCTTTGTGCTCCCCCCCCAGGCATTTCCTGACAATGCAGCGGGTCGAGAAATAGCAAGTTTGCCAGCCAGGTGTTTGAACCAGGGCTGCAGCTGGACAGGCTCAATAAAGGAGTATGAGGTGATGTATGACATTTGTCTCACTTTGTTTTGTGGGTGTGCTCACCACTTTCTGTTTTGAGTTTTTGTCTCTCCTTGCCTCGTCTTAAACCTTTCACAAGTGTCAGATTAATGCTTTATCACACCTATACTAGTATTGTGCCGGATACATTTACACAAAGCATATCCTGTCTTATATTTTCTCCACTCACATTGCTGCTCATTGCACTACAGCAATGAAACAGGAAGTGAAACTTACCATGTGGCCTGGAAAGTCCCTACATACCCAGCTCATGTTATCAGCAACAACTAAACTGGAAAGTACCGTGACATAAAGGTCTGTTAATCTTAGCCTTATTGGCGATGCAGACTAGATGACCACTATGTTATAATGAAACTGCTGGATTTAGAGTTCACAAGGGAACTACTGAATTTATCCTGGTTGAGACAAAGAAAAACCGAAACTGGTCTAGACACAAAGCCACACCTTTGACAGTCTGTAGTTTGCAGAAATATAGAAAAACTTTGTTCTAATGTTTATGTGCTTTATTGTGTGTCATCTCTCTAGTATTGTTTGTTTGGTAAATATTGAGCACATTAGTGAGCTTGGTGATGACGGCGATGACTTTCCGGTGCTAATTATGTGTTCAAGATGTTTGTAGCATTTTTATGTTTGTCTGTGGTTTGAATTAACCATATCCTGTCATCTAACCTAGAACAGGTTCTTCAAAGGAAACATTTAAATGATGTGATGAATGTGTTTAAAATTAGAACACTAGTTTGACACTTGTCATTATTTTGCATGCTTTGCATATGTAACAGTACCATACGCCGATGAAATTTCCCCTTGTATACATATGCTTGCATTTTATGGCAAAGAGAACCAAGTGGGTTATATTGCGGTGCTCAAGAAGTCATTACTAAGCTGTGACACAGCCACGTTTGTGTGAATATCTGTGGGTTGCTGTCTTAGTCACTGTTGACCAGAACCAGAAGGATTCGCGTGGACGTTAGCTAGCCGTACACACCCAAAACTTGTTCTTACGAAGCTGGAAAAAGACGCTAAATGTGGTGTGTGTGTGGTGTGGGAAGGACAGGGATTTGATCGAAACACTCCTAAAGATGATTCATATAAATGTGGTTATTTTGTTCATAATTTTTGCCATGCTGGAGAAGTGAGCAGTCAAAGTGAAAAACGGGCAATCCTACCTGCGGTTCTTGCTCTGGGGCTTCCACGTGCTGTTGCTAGTCATTGTGAAAGGCACCAAGAGCATAGTTGTAAGCTCCTCCTCATAATCAAACTCCACCCTTTTCGTTTCCCGGCATTTTTTAAAATGAATTTTTATTGATTTAAACTTACAAACAGCCCTTTTACATTAATTGTTGGACTTCCACTTCATTATTTCAGTGCTGCTTTTGTTCTTTTAGTTCCACTTTGTCCAGTGACAACTTTTTGTTGGGTTTGTTTTTGATAACGGTCTGATGTTGAAAAGCTTGCCGTTTAGCTGACTTCTTTAGCATATTATTTGTGTTTTAAACAGTTATATCGAACAAATAATTCAATAGTTAGTCTCAGAACATTTCTTTTGAGTTGTATGAAAAAATTATTAGATTATGAATTACAGAATCATAATTATTTATTATAAAGTTCACAGTTAAATCAGTATACTCTGTTTTTATAGGTCACCCGTTTTTTTTGGTTTTTTTTGTCTTTTCATGTACTGCAGGTATTACATGGTTGCATAAGAAGGCACAGCTTGTTCTTTCCGCATTACAACTGTCAGCAGCTCCACACCTGCTTATGTATACATGGGTGTCTTCCAGCCAAAGTTAAATTGGCTTTTGCGCAATAAATAACAAGGGTGTAGCATCTTATATAAAGACTGCTTTTTCTATCATGCAAATTATGTGTACTCGAAACACCATAACAACCCAACTGTCATTTTTTGAAAGGTAATAGATACCAGACACACATGCCCTGTGTGAAAGGAAGAAATTGTGCATAGTAATAATAAACCTGTCCTCCTTTGTTAGGCGCAGCACGAAGGTCGCTGTGAATTTGAACGGGTACAGTGTGAGGCCTGCCAAACCTCAGTCCTTCGTACTGAGAAGGATCGGCATAATGAGAGAGAGTGTGAGGCCAGAACACTCAACTGCAAATACTGCAAAGTGACTTTCAACTTTAAAGACATCAAGGTGAGAGACAGCAATAATCTATAGTAAAGCATTTTCCGGTTGTGTTTGTGCACATAGACTCATAATACATTTCTTACACTTATTGTAGGCCCATGATGAAATCTGCCTGAAGTTTCCCTTACAATGCAAAGACTGTGGCAAGAAGAAGATCCCAAGAGAAAAGGTCTGACCTATTACTCAAAACTGTCAAAGAACTGTCAGGTTGCTTCTTGATACTGTACCCAGGTATAGAACAGTCGCTGAATAAACTAATGCTACATAGAGCACTTTATATACAAGTTACAGCTAATGTACCATTAAAATAGATATAATTCTAAGAAGGCAGAATAATCACCCATGACTACATGCCTATGAGTTCCACATATTGATCAACTGAACAGTAAAAGTCTTCTTTCTAATGGCAGTTTTTGGAAATTGTGCCTTAGGATTCTCCATATGACCGCTAAGTTTCTTGTGACAAGACTCTTGTGCTTCACTTTCACTTTACTGTTTGAATTGATGCACTGTTTAAAGCTGGTCAATTAACTGAATTGATGCACTGTTTAAAGCTGGTCCATTAATTCTTCCTTTGTCCTTTCAACCTTCAGTTCAGCGACCACATGAGGACCTGTGCCAAGTCAAAGAGTGCCTGTCCATTCAGTGAAGTGGGCTGTAAATCTGTGGTATGTATGATCAACCAGTCAGTTAAAAGCTCTGATTGTGTTAGTTTTTATTGAAGCAAACAATGCTGATCTAAATAACAGGCTGTGGGATCACTTGTTTTCAAGGGATTTTAAAGGAATAAATAGTTCAGCATTTCAGGAAATACTGGCTAGCCATTTCCTCTGCTTTGAGTCTTTTATGCTAAACCAAAGTTAAACGCCCTGTTAAGTACATAACTTTGAGAAACAAATTTAGAGGCACTGAAAACATATTTTCTCAGCTTCTTACCATGAACACAGTGATTTGTATATGACCACTACTTTCTGTCACAGTCAGAACAGTTCTGGTTATTTATCATGAGAGAGTTTAGTTTTTCTAGGCTCTTCTCACTGGCTTGAAGTGTGTGTGTGTGTGTGTTTTAAAAATGCGATGTCGCATGCTTCTGTAAACCAATCAGAGTTCAGGAAATACTGGCTAAACATCTGAAATAAAATAAAATATGTCATCAGTTAAGGCCATAAATACATTAACGGTTAAGGTATTATTTCTTTCTATTGCTAATGTGCTGTCAAAACACACAGTCATGAGAAAGCAGATCCGATTGGGTTTCGAGTTTAAAACTTTATCATGAGGATGGTTTTCCCCTAGTTAGCTCATTGTTTATTTTGTCTGAAATATTTAATGTTCTAGAGAAATACTGCAGCTTTAAAACCATGAAACACTCATCATTCTTCTGCACATATTTCCAGAATCCACAAAGACACTTCTAAATGGAAAAATATTGTCTAAAGATTTTTAACCTGTTTCTCCAAGTTGTGCCCACATCTTTTTCATTCACAACCTTACATCACTGAAAACCATTTGGCGTTACATAAGGGCAAATCCTCACCACTGACCTGACTGGACAATTTAGGCCCTGCAGTTTTATACATTTTATTTTGGCCCAAAATACTGTAATAGCTAAATAAACTCTGTTGGATTTATCAGATAGAGAACGGGAAGCTCAGTGACCATGAGCACAGCAGCACCATGGAGCACTTGCGTCTGCTGCTGCCTATGGTGCTGTCTATGGCTCGGACACGTGCGGAGGCTCCTGGTCTCGGGGAGTGGCAGGAGGACTCTGGTCTGGGCCTGTACAGGGCTCCTGGGGAGGGAGTCAGTATAGATGGAGGAGCTGCAGCCTCCTCTCAATCTGTGGATCTGGGGAAAAAGGCAAGTCTCAGTGAATTTAATGCTCTTTGTTAACCACTGCTGTTTATTGTTGTTGAGCGAGGATCTAAATGTGTTTGTCGCTGTTTCTCAACAGGTGAACGCTTTAGAAAACATTGTGTGTGTCCTGAACCGGGAAGTGGAGCGCAGTTCAGTTACATTGGAGGCTTTTTCACACCAACATCGTTTAGACCAAGAAAAGAGCGAAAATCTGTCTAACAAAGTACGACAGCTAGAGAGGACGGTGGCTATGAGAGACTTGCAGCTGTCTGAGACTGAACAGGTGGTGCGAGAGCTCCAGTTCTGCACCTATGATGGGATATTTGTCTGGAAAATCTCTGACTTCTCACGTCGCAGACAGGACGCTGTGGCTGGTCGAACACCTGCAATGTTCTCACCAGGTAAGATTAAAGGCATAATCGCAAACCATCATTCTTGTCAAAGGTTTTCTGTTCCAGCTGAAAGGTCATTGTTGAACTGGAGTGAGTTAAGGTCATGTGGTTTGTATGATCTTAACTCTTGGTCTGTAGATGAGGGAAATTCCACTACACTACGCCCTTGTTGTTGTTTAAGGAGTGTGCGTGTCACTCCTATTCTCATGACGCAAGCTGTAGGCTCTGTTTTTATTCTGGACTTTTTTTTTTTCTTCATCACAGCATTTTACTCCAGCAAATACGGCTACAAAATGTGTCTGAGGCTGTATTTGAATGGCGATGGGACAGGTCGCGGGACACACCTCTCACTGTTTTTTGTCATCATGAGGGGCAACTGTGATGCCCTGCTTAAGTGGCCATTCAGTCAGAAGGTAGGAAAAATTGCAAATCTTTCCACGCCTTTTAATCCTTAATCACCACAGTAAAAGGCCCCCAAAAACAACCTGGTGTTCTCCTCCCCTCCTCTTTCGCCCAGGTGACTCTGATGCTCTTGGATCAGAACAACAGGGAGCACATTATTGATGCTTTCCGCCCCGATGTCACTTCCACCTCCTTCCAGAAGCCGATCAGTGAGATGAACATCGCCAGCGGCTGCCCGCTCTTTTGTCCACTGGCCAAACTGGCTGGCAAGAGCCCTTATCTGCGAGAGGATACAATTTTCATTGTATTATAGTATATCACATATGTGACTAATACATATAATTATACATTCTAGGGAGAGTGTTACATTATGGTGGAGGGTGTGCACAATAGCAATCACATCACAGCAGGGGATCTTTAATTATTATTATTATAATCTAGATAGTGGTGATTTGACGTCAATAAAAATAATTTGTGGGGTACTGAATCAGCATGTGGGCTCTAATCTTATTTTCTCTGTTAGCATTAGTCCTTGGCCAACCCACCTCATGCAAAGAAATTTGTTTTGGGGAGGTGTGTGCACTTTTCTTAACGTCATTTATTATAATCTAGACCACATAATAGTAATAGGTGACTGAGAGCAAGACGCTTTAGTAACAGTGTGAGCTGCTGAATCAACAGTCAAATTGTTTCCTGATGAAGGTTCTAAAAACAACTTTCACCCTAATTAACTCTCT